AAACACTCATACACATAAAAAAATAAATAAAAGAAAATAAAGCTGTGAAGAAGGAGAAGGAGAAGGAGAAGGAGAAGGAGAAGGAGAAGGAGAAGAAGAAGAAGAAGAAGAACAACAACAACAACAAAATAAAAAGCCAGGCTTGGTAACACACACCTGTAAGTTGGGCACTGAAGTATCTACATCACCTGGTCATTACTGCCCCATAGAGAACCCCCTGCATAAAAACACAGAGAGTGAAATAATGCTGTAATTATTCATTCTTAGACAACTGAAAAGTGCCTTTACATGCTACAGAAAAGAAAGAAGCAGACTGTAGTAACTTAATGCCTGTAATTCCAGCACTGGGAAGGAAGACTGTTGTAGATCAGCCTGGGCTACACAGTAAGTAGTGGGCTAGCCAGCACTACACAGCAAGACCCTTCCATCTCGGAAAAAGAACCACATTATTACATATAGTTCACACTCTCTTCAATATACCCAGAACTTAAGAGCTAACAACAACCTATGCTATTGCTTGGACTTCCCTAGCCTCTGTGGTAGGGGCTAAACAACTCACTCTGTACTTGGAAAGCACACTGTATATTTTAAATATTGTAAGTCTGGTCCCTGTGTTTAAGCATCACTGAGTCGAAAAATTAAGCCAAATTCATTAGTTCAGTAACCCCAGATGGTATGATCAAGTATCGTAAAGTCCCAAAGACCATGATTTTGAGAAAGCTAATCAGGCTGACCTGGGACCAAATACTACTAAATTTCCTCTTATTAACAAGCTACCTTGAGTGAGTTATTTAACTTCTTCGTGAGTTTCCACACCAACACAGCCTGGATACCTTTCACAGTTCTAACAGTGCCTGAAGTTAGCATAGATCCTGGGGCACCGGGCTGGCCATGTAAGAGTCTCTTAATTCTAGCAGGTGCACCTGAATGACCTGCTGTAAGTTGGGGTCTTGCATGACCTTAAGATGGATAATTCACTATAGCAGCTCACAGAAATGCAGTATTAAGGACACAATGCAAAAACAGCCAAGTGGGGGAGACGCACAGAGCAAAGGAAGAGAGAATCGGTTCCCAGAGGTGCTATGCCTTCTGTAGACAGACCATCCACACACACCCAGGATCTTCACAAGGTTCACTTCCTAGAAACTCCACAAGCTCATCCTTCAGGGGTTTTATGGAGGTTCTGCTTGGTAGACAGGGTTGATAAAATCATGAGTCATTTGTGATTAATCCTGTCCCTTCACCCCCTAAGAAGGTGGGGGGAGGGGGACGCTGAAAGTCCCAACACCCAAACCACGTGGATGGTTTCTCCGGTGACCAGACCCAGTTATAAAGCACATTGAGGCCTGCCTCTTAACAGACCCCAGTGAGGCTGAAGGGCTCTTCTTGTGGACAATAAAACACTCTCCTCTCACTCTGAATGAAGAAATCTCAAGTTTCAGGAAGCCAGGACAAAGATCAAATACCGATTCCTATTATCAAACTTGTGCCTAAGGACTTGGACACTTTGGCAGCTCAGAAAGCTTCCCTGAAATCTGAACCTCTGCGATCTCTAGTCCAGTGGGAATTTGCCCTGGACGTCTCCTCTGATCATCCACTAAAACAGAATCATCCTTATCATTCCTTATCCCTCCCCATCCCCTTACCTGAAGAGGACCCTCCAACGTCCAGGAGGGGAATCGAACCCACAAAGACATGAGAATAAAGACCTGGTTTAGAATGACTTCGCCAACCTGGATCAGACTTCAGGGAGTCTAATGCCAGGCAGCTCACAGCCAGAATATTTAAAGCACAACTTTGGTAAAGGTTTCCAGGCAACAATCATCTCAATCCAGGTGCACAGTAAAGCTTAAAGTGTGACTACATAGAAATTTCTTTGCAAACTACATGGGACCACAAAGACCAATTCTATAGCTAAAAGGCCTAGAATCTAGTATGGTTTCACAGGACAGTAGAGGTCAGCAGGTCATAAAGTACTCCTGACATCTCCCCTACAGGTGGGTAATGGTCTAGGGAAAGAAGAGTCTGGAGTAATCATTCTAAGGAATTTAGGTGAGGTCTGCCCCACAGTAAAAGGTAGGTGAGTCTGCCTCCACAGATAGCAAATAGGTCACTGGGTCATTGACAAAATCGACTCTCAGCTTTCTGGATGGAATGAAGGTATTTGATTTTTATTTCCCCCACTGAGGAGACACCCCAGCTCAGTTAACTTCTCTGGTTCTCTGTGAGTAAAGGACTTCTGTGCCCACGACACCTTCCCTGCTGTTTACAATCACACTCCTATGCCACTTGGGAGGCAGAGGCAGGTGAATTTCTGAGTTCAAGGCTAGCCTGGTCTACAGAGTGAGTTCCAGGACAGCCAGGGCTATACAGAGAAACTCTGTCTCAAAAAACAAAAACAAAAACAAAAACAAAATGTCATAGCTGGATCCTCAGACCTTAGCATTTCCGGAACAATATCCAAAAAAAGCACGTGCTGAACAACAACAAGGATGAAGCGGCAATAGAATGATAATAGTTAATATCAGGCTGGAACTGGGGACATAGTCACTAGCAGAATGCTAGAGGCCCTAAGTTGGTCCTGAGCACAAAGTTAAAACAGAAATCTATATCAAAGCACTCATGAGCACAAGACCATGGATTTGCTTTCCTGCACTGCAAAAACGGAATAAAGACAAAGCAGCATAGGTCGTGAGAATTGAATGAGAGGGTGAACACACAGGAGTATAAACTAATACAACAACGTCATGTGCATAATAGGTTCAGTGACTTTGCCTAAGGCCATTATCAGTGTAACTCAGAAGTGGGTGTGACCAACATGAGCCAGAGCAGTTAACCAACTGGTCTTAAATTTGACCTGATTAGATAAAGACTTTACACTCTCAGGGGGACACTGCAAAAGATAGGACTCATCTCAATCTCTGCTCTGGCCACTCCCTACCCCATGTGGGCTGTCTTCACACTCTAAAAATTACCTACTCAGCAACCTCTCCCCCTGCCCATCCGTTACCCTACATTGCTTTCATGTCTACACACCAGAGTCTAAATGAATTTCACAAACAAGGGACGCTCGATAAAAATCACTGGATTAATTAATTTAAGAGACCTGTATAAAAGGAGCAAGCTCCAGCCCAGCAATCCAGACCTAAAGAAATACTTCCAGTATTAAATTCGATATTAATAACCAAGCATAAGACCAGCTGAATGGCTTGGTGGGTGGAGGAACCGTCATGAAGCCTGTGGACCTGTTTGCTGAAAGGAGGGAAAACCAACTCCTGAACAACGTCTTCTGCTTACCTCTCGAGACACCTAGATTCTCTCTCCCTCCCTTCTTTCCCTTATACATAATAAATAAATAGATAGATAAATAAATAAATAAATAAATAAATCCTTTTTTTTAAAAAAATTCAAATACAAGTAAGGCAAGATGACTCAGTGAGTAAAGGGACTTGCTTTTAAGCCTGATGACCTGAGTTCAGTCTCCAGGACACACATGGAAAATGAGCACTAAGTCCAGCAAGATGCCCCTAACCTCCATAACACACACACACACAGGCACACTTAAACAATTCAAGTGCAAAGATCATGTCAACAGGGGGAGAAAGGAAGCAATCACTATGACCACTCCACGAAGGAACCATCAACAGACTATGGAGACACCTTATGACACTCTGTGAAACACTCTCCAAAATATAGCTAAGTGAAAAAAAGTCCGAGAATACAAAACGTGTTTTCAATTAAGCAAGACAAAAATATTTTAAAGCAATGCGCAAATCTTCAAGAATTCATTGTATGCCTGTGACCTATACAAGTTCAGTTAAGTATTTGCTGATTGGAAACGCACATGAAGAGAAAGAAAAACAGACCTGGTTTCCGTGTTTAAATATTCTATGCTGTTTGCATCTTTAAGAGGCTGCATGAATTAACCTCCTGTATTATTAAAATGAACGTCTTTAAACTACAGGACGTGGACGTAGACCTTTTGAAGAGTCAGGCATTAAGCCAGGCATTAGCGAGGCATTAGCACTCCTAGGCGCAACGAAGAGCAACCCCACGCTCAAGAGCTCTTTAATAAGAACCGGGGAAAGTGCTGGGCTGGAGATGGTTGAACACCAGAGGGCTAGTGACACCCTTGATCTAGAGGGCTTTCCTCCCGGGTACTCCCTTCTCGGGGGTTCATGTCCTCAGTCAAGAGTACTGGAGGAACCGAGGAGAAAAGCGCTTCGGGCAGGTGCGTCCACGCTGCGGTCAGGGAAAGGAAACTTACTTTCCGACTGGCCTCTTTGGCTGTGACCTGTCTCTCCTGTTCGGGCATCGTCCCCACAAACGCCAACTTCTTCCTGGGATCCATCCCCGAGCCCAAAGGTCACCTGGTCGCGGGGGAGGGAAGAACGACTTTACAAGCCAGAGAGAGGAGGCGCGAAGACGCGCATCCGTGGTTCCTGGAGAACTCAGGGCTCAGATCTCCCAGCCCCGGCGCCGCGGACTCGGGACAGCGAGGTCCGCGATGCGCTGCGGATAGGGTGCAGCGGGGACCACAGTCCCAGGGCTCTCGCTCCTGCGCAGCCCCCTCTCCACCCTGCGCCCGGCTACTGCGGCCGCTGGGGACTCGCCGACACCACGGAAAGAGCGGACTCTGTACTGGGAGATTAGCTCGCCGCCCGCCCGGACCTCCCATTGGGTCCCAACCGGCTGCCGGCGCCGTGGTGGGGGCGGGGCGGGGCGCCCGCAAGGGGGCTTCCAGACCGGAGGGGGGAGCGGGGTGGGAGGGGCGGGAGAGCCGGCGCTCCATCACAAGCCACGCCCCCCAGCCGCCACCGCACTGGCGTGGCCCAAGTGAGATGGGCCCGTGTGCGCCCCGCCTATGGGAAGCGGCTATTTGGCAACCCGCAGGAAGGCGTGTAAGCAGGGGGCGTGGCTAACAGCGCACGCTTCCTCAGGAGCCAATAGAATACAAGAACAGGCAAGCGCTTCCGGGCTGGGAGGGTGAGGGTGGGGTAAGATGGCGGCGGACACAGGGAGCTGGTGCGTGTACTCAGTGCTGCGGTAAGGAGCTGGTGGCCTGAGCTCGCGAGGGCGTGGAGGGTCTTGGGGCAGTCCAGATAAAGTCTGTAGAAGAGCTTTCTTTTTCATGCCTCAGTTTACCTCAGTTGTTTCGCATGCCTCGCTACTGGCCGATCAGCCGTTTCCTTACCGGTTACCTGCTGCTTGGTAAAACCAGTTGGTTGATTCTCTGCTTCTTGACGATCTGTTGATTTATTCTTTCCTGGTTGATGTTTAAAGTTGTAAATGTGTTGTTTTTAAGATACGTATCGTTTCTTATGTAAGAGTTACAAAAGTTAATAGAAATAAACAGGAATGTTAACCAGCGGTGACTACTCTGGTAATAGTTCCGTGTTCCAAAAGTTGTCCCTGTCTTATGAAGGCCTACCTAAGTTCATATGTATTTTTGTCCAGGTTGAAAATTTAGAGCTAGCGTAATAGCGTTCTGAAGAGCAGTGGATTCTTGCCAAAGTTTGTATTGCATCTTCCATTTCTGTACTTTCTGCTTCAAGTTCTGTAGTGATGGCTAAAATTATGAATAGGTTAGTTTGTTCTAGCACCTTCTTGGCCTTTTCCTGCTAAATGGAATGCTGCCAGCTCTGTACTGTGTACATTGTAATGGCTGGCTTTTTGCATTATAATGATGATTGGTGGGTAATCCATAGCTTTGGATTACAGTTACCTTTCTTTAAATGTGGGTATATATTGGCTAGGAATCAAGTGTTTACCTGACATCCATGAGTCCCTGAATCACCACCACTAAGGGAAAAAAAAAATTGGATATTTTATCAAACTTATGAGTGACAGAACTTAATATTAAGCAAATATGTAAAAAGTGAACCTTAATTTGTAGCTGACTTTTTAAATTAACAACAGGTTGATTTTCACCTTTTATTTATTTCAGATTTTTTTATTCACTCTTCTTTCCTGGACTAATTATATGTGGAGTTTTGTGTGTATTTTTGGTCATTGGCCTTTGGGCTATCAGGCGACATCTACAGAGAAAGAAAAAGTCAGTGTCAACCAGCAAAAATGGAAAAGATCAAATGGTGGTTGCGTTTTTCCACCCATACTGCAATGCAGGCGGCGGAGGAGAGAGAGTTCTGTGGTGTGCTTTGAGAGCCCTGCAGAAAAAGTAGGTATGCATCTTTCTTAGCTAAAACGCTGTGCTGCTGCTTGCCTCCTAAGATCATACTAAATTTTAGTTTACACAGACTTCAGTGTTCCATGGAATGCGATTAACTGTCCCCAGCCAGTCACACTTCATTGTGTAGTTTACATGTTTGGGGAGGGGAGTTGTTAACAAATGAGAGGGGAGAATTCTAAGTAATGCTTTAAAGTTACAATTCTGTCAGGGCCTGGAGGGTAGCTTAGCAGTTCATAGTGCCTGGTGCTCTTCCAGAGGACCTGGGGTCAGTTCTCCGCACCCAGATCAGAAGCTTGTTAACTGCCTGTGACTGTAGCCCTAAGGGATCTAACACCTGCGTCTGCCTTCCAGAGGTACCTACATACGTATGGCCTATACTCACACAGTCACATAGAATACACATAAATAAAAATAAACCTTAAATAGAATGATGACCCTATCTCAAGACAACTTTAATGAATCTTAGTTTTCTGTTTTATTTCATTAACAATTTATAGGAAGAACTATTAAAATAAGGGTCCCCACCCATTTGGTTTTTGTGATGCTAAAGGTTGAACTCAGGACCTGTGTACATTACACAAGTGCCCTACAGCTGAAATCCTTAAAATGAAATTTTTTAATACGTCCTAAAAATGCAAACCTCTCATTAATATGTCAGAAATTTCTGTTGGTGTTTGTTCCATTTAAAACCCATAAGAGAAGGAATGGCAAATAGTTAGACATGACATCTTAGTCTCATCAGCTAACTGTAACAAAATACCTTCAGCTGGATAGTTTATAGACAAGAGAAAGTTATCGCTCATAGTTCCAGAGGTTGGGAATCCACAGTCAAGAGCCATAGGATGTGGTTCACTTGGCGCCTCATACATAGCTGCTCATGTGGTAGTGGGGTGAATCGACTCCTTTAGTCCTGCCACAAGGTACCACAGAGGGTCTGAATGGAGCCCAGGGGTAAAGTGTATATGACAAATGCACAAGAAGGCACAAGTCCTGTTTCCCCATTATCAGTCCCTTTCCTTCTAATGCCCCTCTACTAGAGATTAGATTTCAACAGACAAATTTGCAGGTAACCGTCAAAACACAGCACAGGGTGTCCTTTGAAAGATTAAGAGTAGAAACCCAGAGGAGGGATGAGTTAGTTTAAATTCAGTAAATGAAAAATGGTAGAAAACATTTTTAGTATAAAAATACATATGCTTATGATTATAAGGAAATTTAAATATTTGGCTTAATTTTAACCCAAATTAATGACATTTTATTTCAGGTATCCTGAAGCAGTTTATGTTGTGTATACTGGTGACATTAATGTCAGTGGTCAACAGATACTAGAAGGTGCTTTCAGAAGGTTTAACATCAAGTTGGTTCACCCAGTACAGTTTGTTTTCTTAAGGAAACGCTACCTTGTGGAAGATTCTCGCTATCCTCACTTCACATTGCTAGGCCAAAGTCTTGGCTCCGTTCTTCTTGGCTGGGAAGCTCTGATGCAGCGTGTTCCTGATGTTTACATCGATTCAATGGGATATGCCTTCACACTCCCTCTGTTCAAATATCTGGGAGGTTGCCGAGTCGGAAGCTATGTTCACTATCCCACTATCAGCACTGACATGCTGTCTGTAGTGAAGAATCAAAATCCTGGGTTTAATAATGCGGCTTTCATTAGCAGAAGTGCTCTTCTCAGCAAAGCAAAGCTCATCTATTACTACTTATTTGCTTTTATTTATGGCCTGGTTGGGTCTTGCAGTGACGTAGTCATGGTTAATTCTTCTTGGACACTAAACCATATTCTCTCACTGTGGAAAGTTGGCCATTGCACTAATGTTGTTTATCCACCTTGTGATGTGCAGACATTTCTGGACATCCCTTTACATGAGAAAAAGGTGACCCCAGGGCATTTGCTGGTTTCCATTGGCCAATTCAGGCCTGAAAAGAATCATGCTTTGCAGATCAAAGCCTTTGCTAAATTGCTAAGTGAGAAGGCAGCTGAGTCCGGCCATTCTCTTAAACTTGTCCTTATTGGAGGATGTCGCAACAAAGATGACGAGTTCAGAGTAAACCAACTAAGAAGACTATCTGAGAATTTGGGAGTTCAAGAAAATGTGGAATTTAAAATAAACATTTCATTCAATGAATTGAAGAATTACTTGTCTGAAGCAACAGTCGGTCTGCATACCATGTGGAATGAGCATTTTGGGATTGGTGAGTGTTGTTTTGTTTTTTAACAAGTTGTTTGATGATACAGCAAGATGTGCGTAAGGTCCTAAGTACACTTCTGTTGCTGTGACAAATATGACCAAGGCGACTTAGGAAAGAAAAATTGGGAGCTTATGGTTTCACAGGGTTAGAGTCCATCGTAGCAGCGCAAAGACATGGTGGCTGAAAACTTACATCATGATCTACAAGCTGGAGTCAGAGAAAAATGCACAGAGAATGGTGTGAGTCTTTTGAAACATCAGCTAGGTCACACCTAATCCTTCACAAACAATTCCACCAACTGGAAACCACATATTCAAATATATGAGCTTATGAGAAACATTCTCCTTCAAAACACTATAGTCGTTTTGATAAAATTGTATTGTTGTGGAAGCCTCTACTTAGTCTATCAGTTCGTTCCTTTAGAGAACCCTGACTACTAGAGTGACACAGGCAGCTACAGATGTGGCGAAGATGGGGAGAGTTCGAGCCAGAGGAGCCTCAGGAAAGAGCTGAGCAGGAGCAGGTGAGCAGACAGAAGAAAGGGGGCTGCAGAAAACGGTTGTGGAGTGTGCTTTGGAAACATGGAGCTGGTATTTGGTGACGACAAGAAAGGGCAGCTGGGCCCCAGGCTGCCACTGGGGAAAGGAAGGGTTATCAGTGACCTAGGGCAAGCAATGTGGAAAGAGAACAGGAAGCAAAGGTGAAAGTGTGGTAGGTGGGGGTCTGCTTCTGAGGACGTGAAAGAAGAGCACAGCTAGAAACGGCTGGGGGCTGGGGCGCGTCCTGTGCACCTTCATGCACGTCATTTGACAGGCGATACCAAAACTTACCCAGTTCACCTGCACACAGTTGAGGCCGCTGTGCGCCTCTGAGCTGCAGCACTCCTTAGTTCTCTAAGGCCGGTTACACTTTTATCTGCTGCTCTTATTGGGCCTCCTAAAACTTTACTTTTGGTGTTTTCTTCCTCTTGTTTCTAATACTTACTCATCTTTAGTCATCCTGGCAATGGTGTCTATAGCTCTACTTTGTGTGGTGTATTGATCTTTCCCTTCTTTGAGACAGGGTCTCACATAGTCCAGTCAGGCCTCAAACTTCCTGTGTAACTGTGATGACCTGGAACTCTTAATCTTCCTGCATCTCCCTCCCAGCGGCTGGGATTATAGGTGTATACCATCATATGTAGTTTTATGTGGTGCTAAGGTTCAAACCCAGGAGTTCGTGCACGCTAGGCACTCTACCCACTGAGCTATACCCTCAGCCCCAGTGTACTGACTTTACAGGACATTTCTGTAGGTTCCATCTAGGGACTCAAGAGCATGAGTAAGTGCTGGGGAGCTGACGCACTGTTAAAGTGCTCACTGCAGCAGGAGGACCTGGGTCGATCCCAGCACCCATGGAAAAGGCAGCTGTGGCAGCATACCTATGACCCCCACCACCTCTGCTGGTGAAAGTGCTGGAGAGTTTAGGGCAGTAGTTCTCAACCCTCCTAGTGCTGTGACCCTTCTCATGACATGGTGACCCCCACCAGCCATAAAATTATTTTTGTTGCTACATCATAACTATTATTTTGCTACTATTATGAATCATAACGTGAAATATATGTTTTCTGATGATCTTAGGCCACCCCTGTGAAAGAGTCCTTTAATCCAGAGGGACTGTAACCCACAGGTTGAGATCAGCGGGTCCAGAGCATCTTTAGCTCATTGACAGCCAGTCAGATCCAAATCAGTGAGTGTCTCCACAAGGAGTGGAGAGCGGCAGAGCAAGCCGAAGTCAACTCGTGGCTCCCACAGCCCATTCACAGGCAGACACACACACAAAACCACAACATCATTTTATTTTGTATCATTTAAATAAGCACATTTCTAGACCCCAAAATACTTAAGTGTTTCATGGGACTCAGAATTTTTGAAGGTTCATTTATGTTCATCAAAACTTAAGAGGTCTGTGGTTTCTGTTTGTTTTCTTTCTCAGGAGTTGTTGAGTGTATGGCAGCTGGTACAATTATCCTCGCACACAATTCAGGAGGCCCAAAGCTGGACATTGTCATTCCTCATGAGGGACAAATAACTGGATTCCTGGCTGAGAGTGAAGAAGGCTACGCTGAGACCATGGCTCATATTCTTTCTCTGTCTGCAGAAAAGAGACTTCAAATCAGGAAAAATGCTCGAGCATCTATAAGCAGATTTTCCGACCAGGAGTTTGAAGTAGCATTCCTGTGTTCTGTGGAGAAGTTACTTACTTAATGCCCAATCTGCACAGTCCAGATAGTTTCTCCAGAGTGGAGCTGGAGCTATAGATAGTGGGAGAGCCTATGCCTGGTGTGTGCAAGTCCCAAGTTCCATCTCCAGCACCAAGAGTAAAAGGAAGTGCTTCATTTGGAAACACCTTCACATGTAAATATTTTCTAAATTTATTCTTTATTGTAATAAAAGCAGCCTGAGCAATATTCTCAACAATATTTGTATAGAAAAGGCAAAATTTAACAAAATGGCAGAATTAATCTATGGAAAAAGTAATCTCAAATAGGTTTTTTTTCTTTTGCTTTTTTGAGACAGGGTTTCTCTCTATAGCCTTGGCTGTTCTAGAACTCACTCTGTAGACCAGGCTGGCCTTGAACTCATAGAGATCCACCCGCCTGTCTCCCAAGTGCTGGGACTAAAGGTGTGTCACTACACACAGCTTCATGTAGCTTTAATGTATAGATTCTACTGTTTGGTCTCAGTCTGAACAGTATAAACCTCAAAGAAAAATTTACCAATCAAATTTTCATATCTCATGCATCTTTTAATTTAATCTTTTCTTTGTCTTAATCCTTGAGTGCTCCTGCCTCCACCTCCCAGGATGCACCAGTGCATGCAGTGCTGGTGATGGAGCCCAGGGCTCCTGTAGTCTAGACAAGCACTCTGTCAGCTGAGCTGCATCCTAAGCCCCAGATCTTGCTTTTCAAAGCACTTTCGCTTGGGAAACATAAACTAAGACTTGTGGGGTTTAATCTGTTTTATGATGCCGGAGTACCATGTAGAGCCTCAGACTGTAAGGAAGAGCAGGGAGCATATGCAATCACCACAGAGTGCGCTGAGCCCATCTCAGACAGACTTCCGTCCAGAGGAAAGGGGAGTGCTGAAAGAAACAGCAGCTTATCACTGGCACTCGAACAGGTATTCTTAAACTTTTGGATAAAATTCTGTTTGAGGGGGAAAAAAGTAAATAAATATCCTGTTTGAGGGGTAGGTTTAGGGTTAGAGATTGAACTAGAGCCATGCTCATGGTACATAAGTGTTCTAACCCCTGAGCTACTTTACCTCAACCCCAGGAGTGCCAAAATAACATGGGTAACCCTTTTAAGTATACCGACTAATTTCTTAAAAGGAAAAAGAAACTTCAAACGGGCATCTCTAATCCTATTCCTAAAGTATCAGTCAAGAGATGGGCTGGACTGATTTCTTCATGGGTGTGTACAGATATGTTGAAGTCAAAACAGGCAGCAATCTTTCCCATAGCTAGGTTTGTGTGGAAATTGGGTTTTGTTTATAGCCACCACAGTTCATTTGTATGGGGTTCTCCTCTCTTAACAGCCCCACTTAAGGCTAAAAGTCAGCCTCAATTCATTCAAGACAATATCAAGCCGGGCAGTGGTGGTGCACGCCTTTAATCCCAGCACTTGGGAGGCAGAAGCAAGCGGATTTCTGAGTTCGAGGCCAGCCTGGTCTACAGAGTGAGTTCCAGGACAGCCAGGGCTACACAGAGAAAGCCTGTCTTGAAAAACAAACAAACAAAAAAACAAAAAAAAAGATAATATCAAGCTAAGCTGCTTTTCTGAAACTGGCCATGTGTTTATAATGTATATAGATATACATAAATATATATATATTTCTGTGTATAAATAATACATATATAGTTTTAATGAACTTTCTGGACTGACATTGAGCCAAAGACCACCTAACAAAAAACCCAACACCAGACACGAGAAGCTTCCTTTGAGTTATTGACCAGGGTTGTCCAAGAGACCCCCCCAAAGCATGCAGCCTGTTGCTTTTGCCATTGGTTACCCCTAGAGGTGGACAATAAATCCCAGTTTCTGAAGACACAGTGTACTTTAGAAACAGGCCAAAAGACCCCTAAGCTGGAGCTGTCCTGAAATGCACGGAGAGTTGCTGCTGCCCCAGGGCTGACTTTCATGGCATGAAGGGGCTAGGCAAGCTTCCAAAGGAGAGGGGCAGCCAGCAGTCCTACCCAGCCATCCCACCTATAAACCACATCGAAAACCAGCAGCCTTTAAATTGGACATATGACTTGCTTAACTAAAGGGAGAACCTAGCCAACTATTCAGTGCTACAGAACAACCACTATTTACTAAACCAGCATAATTCCTAACAACAATCTATAAACATTTGTCTAGACTCTTAAAATAGACAGTTCTTCAAGTATGGCCTACAATATAATGCTAACTTACACATTTTCTCTCTTTAAATGAATATGCATTTCACTAACGACTCTTTCCTGAACCTCTAGAGATCTCACTGTGAGTGAGGTAGATACAGTCCCTAACACATGATATATAGAGGTCCATTGGCTGCTTACCAAGTAATTCAGCACTATAAAAACAATTTTCACAACTTTTTTTTTTTTTTTACAAAAGTAACGACCAGTAGTAAAGGTTTTCTGCTCTCCCGTTATTACAGATAGGTTTGTTTACAACTACGTAGTTTCTTGGTTTCCTAGCCAGTAGCTGGACATCAGTATAAATTTCACCTGGCCTCCAGTCTGCCTAACTGGCAGGTGTGTGGGGGCTGAGGCTGTGACTCTGTAAGAAGCTGGCTGTACTGTGTGAGCAAGCTTGAGCCACAGCACAGCACCAGGTGATGATGTGTGCACAGATAGGACTGTAAAGGCAACCTTGGCCATTCCGTACATACCCAGTTCCTTCTCGTTAGATGACTTGCCCACAGTTTGACATTTGTGGTAGGGATACAAAAGAGACACTGTCTCTCCCAGCTGGTTGGCTGGTTTTGGTTGTTTGTTGTTTTGCTTTGTTTGAATCTAGCTAGCTTCATTCTCTACTCCCAGTTACATTGTTGATTCACTACACTGGAAACTCAGCAAACCATCAGCTGGGGTCAGAGATGATTCAGTCTACAAAGATGTCAGAGACTGAAGGTGGACGGGACCTTACACACTCTCTATTTTACTTTCAAAACCAAATAGATTTTTATTTACAGACAAAATCAATTTAAAGAACTGAGTAGACTTTATTGTCATAAAACTGTTTAATGACAGAATCAGGATCATGGCCTGGTATGCTGACTCTTGGCCCACTCTGTTATGTTAAAGCCAGTCCGAGGTAAAATTTGTCTATCGCCCACACAGCTTACCCATCCACACGAAATAATAGGACTAAACATTATAGAGCTTGGAATGAACATAATAGGGGATATGGCGAAAGAAGAAACGATTGTCAGTTTCTTTTTTCTTTTTTCTTTCTTTTTTTTATTTTTCGAGGCAGGGTTTCTCTGTGTAGCCCTGGCTGTCCTGGAACTCTCTCTGTAGACCAGGCTGGCCTCGAACTCAGAAATCTGCCTGCCTCTGCCTCCCAAGTGCTGGGATTAAAGGCGTACGCCACCACTGCCCGGCAATTGTTGGTTTCTTAAAAACACTTTTATACTAACTTTTCGAAATTGTTTTTATGTATTGAAAGCATATAATTTACGTGTATATTCTTTTCCAGCATTCCTAATAAGGTTTTACAGATACTTATTTTGTACTAGATTTCAGGTAGGTACTGTGTGAAATGTTGAAGCTCATCTTTATGTCTCTGTGAGACTTCTGAGTGGTTGTTAAGTCCACTACAATTATGATTTCCCCCCGCAGTGGTCCAAGTGTTCTGTTTTGAGTCCACAGCAATGGGGGTTCACATTCCTGTTTACAGTGATACTACAACTGTGAAGTATAGTTATAGTCTTTTTATATTATCTAATTGTGATGTAGAGCTATTGATACAAAGTTGTATCTGAATGTGTCAGGTGATTGCTTTTGTTCAACTAAAATGTTTTTACATCATCTTCCTCTTTCCCCTCCCACCCTTCTACCTCTGGAATTCATGATCTCTTTTTATTTAACGATTATTGCTACATATATATGCAAATAAATATACAAATGCAACCTGCCGGCTCCCTTTGGTGTTGCTTATATGTATTTGCTTTTAGGGATGGTATTAGATAACCAGTTAGGGGTTGATCCCTGAGGAGAGCTAATTCTCTCAGCACTCAGTAATTGCCTGTAGCTCTTCATCTAAGGCAGTGGTTCTCAACCCCTTTTGGGTGACATATCAGATATTTACACTACAGTTCATAACAGTAGCAAAGTTATAGTTATGAGGTAGCAATGAAGTAATTTTATGATCGGGGGTCACCACATCATGAGGAAGTGTAGGTATTGAAGGACCGCAGCATTAGGAAGCTTCAGAACCACTGATCTAGGGTTGTTTTATGTATGATTTCTCCAACCACTACAACATATCAACTGCTGGGGTTACTTGTTCAGGTCTTGTTTGGGCATACTGTTGATGCTTTGAGGTGTAGATTCCATCCTATCTAGAAGATAGAATACTGCAGCAGACTACCTGATCCTTCTGTCCCTCTCCTCTGTAATGTTCAGTGAGCCTTAGATCAGTGTTGTAGGAGTATCAATTGGGACTGGGAACCCCATGGACAGTTGTTCTCTGTATGTTGACCAGATTTAGCTTTCTGTGATAGTTCTTATCAGCTTCAAAAACAAGCTTCTTTAATCAGAAGTGAAAACTATACTTAGCTATGACTATAAAGTTAAGAATTTAGAATGCCATTAGGAAATACACTGATTTGTAGAAGTGGCAGTAATACATTCTTCTTCAAAATCCATAACCACTAATAAGGTGTGATTTCCCTTCTGTTGAAAGGGAACTTTACACCGGGTGGTGGTGGCGCATGCCTTTAATCCCAGCACTTGGGAGGCAGAGGCAGGTGGATCTCTGAGTTTGAGAGTTCGAGGCTAGCCTGGTCTTGAGTTTGTCGAAAGAGAGAGATAGAGATATAAAGAGAGTCTCTATCAAAAAAAAAAAAAGAGAGAGAGAGAGAGAGAGAGAGAGAGAGAGAGAGAGAGAGAGAGAGAGAGAGAGAAATTGAAGGGGAACCTTACATTCAGTTCGGCAGCTAATAGTTACCATCAATATGTAAGTACCACTATTGCATCTTTAGGAACAGCTTGTCATGCTGGTCATTGTGGTTTATCGGCATCACAGCTGAGCAGGACTATTGATTGCTTACAAAGCACCTTCTAGTATTATGAAATCTAGTTCTCAGCTTTTCAATCGGATCACCTTGATTCCTACAGGTCTTGTGTCCAAAATGTGTGATGTCTTCAGCAATAGGGACTGACCTTCAACATCTGGGAGGCAAGAAGGATGATAGCAACAGCCTATAATTGTTTTGGAAGTCTTCTTAGTTTCCCCTGACCAACAACTCACAAGGAGGTTTCTGGTGCTGGGGATTTTATTAAGTAGCCTTTGGTTCTTGGGGGGAGTGGGGAATGTTGTCCTGAATCCTCTAGAAGAACAAATCCTCTTAAAGCTAAACCATTTTTCTGGCTCTTTATAAGCCTTTAAAGCAAGTTAGCTATAGATGTATCTCACATACTTGGTGTTGGGGAGCAAACCCAAGCTCCCATGCATGTTAAGCATGTACCTTAACTCTGAGCTGTACCCCCAGCCTCCATAGACCCTATTGTAATCATTTCCAGAGAATGGTACAGGGTAATCATAGCAAAATTACAAGTACCAGTGTTATTAGTGCTTTCAGAATATATGTTTAAGTATGTAAAAGTATCACAAAACCTTGTTGTGAATAAATGAGAATGTATCTGTGTTTAAAAACAAAAGTTAACTTCTGTGACGTAACTATGATAGGAACTTTTGTAATCTTCTAGAAGAAAACTTATCTCTGCAATTTACCTCACTTCTCCTGTTGTTGTTCCTCTAACTCTCTACTCACCCCAGAGTCTAAGATCACTCATCTTTTGGAAAACGACGATTACAGTAATCTGTTGTTGTGTGTTCCCTTGTACTCTATATAAATGTTACAAGACACCTAGAAGGGAAGTGGAAGGGTTGATACAGTCTCACTGCCATTTGAGCAAGGACCAGTGGAGTAACTGCCATACAGAGCCAAAGCTGTTTGTTTTCTAATAAGTTTTATTCTAACGACAGAGACGTGGAGATAAGAACAAATAGTTTCAGTTTAATAGATGGAATTAAAGCTAAAAACAACATTCATCAGAGTTGTCCCCCAAGAGCATAGTCAGGACACAGTGTGTAAAATCAGTAAGATAGTGAGTTTTTCTTTACGGACATGGATCCCCATCAATGGGGAACAGATTGTTCACACCTGCACATTTTAACTGTCATTTGGTGAACCTTGGTCTTAGCAATACAGGTTAAACAGGCCAAAAACAGATTCCAGACCTTCACTGGAGTTTCTAGACTGGCAAGTTTGTCTTTTCTGTCTCTCCTGGCTTCTCAGCATTCTTGGAGGAACTGGTAACCTGTTCCCTTTCTTCTGTGGAAGCTGCAAGTTTTTCTAGAGATTCTATTATTTCACTTCTCAGCCCATCTTCAGATTCTTCAAATGTTCTGAAATAATAAGCAGTCAAAATCAGTGTTACAGTATAAAAGCACTAATAGAAAAACTAGCTTCCCTTTTCTTGTCTGCATCCACTTGAGCATTCTGTGTGTCGGACTCTCATCAGATAACATTTTATATCAATTTGGCTGGGAAGGGAGGCGTATGTGACTGAATGTGTGTGCGGGTGCGATGGCCTATGTCCATGCAGCAGCCAGAGGAGGACATGGGGTGGCCAGCTCTACCCGTCTACATTAGTCCTTCAAGGCTGTGTCTCTCATTGAACTTGGAACTAGCCTCTAGCTAAACCAACAATCCTACTGTCTCTACTCACAATCTATTATAGGCATGCAAAATCATGCCTGTCTTAGGTGGGTGCTGGGATCCAGACTCAGATCCTCAAGTTTATTCCTATTTAGAAAAAAAAAAAAAAGTTTACTGTATAACACTTTGGCACTGGGCTGGGGATGTAGCTCGGTTGGTAGAGTGCTTGCCTCACATGTGTGAAGTCTTAGGTTTAAAACACAGCAGTGATTAAAGAAGGCAGTGCACCCCTATGATCCACACAGGATGTGGAGGGAGAAGATTCAGAAGTTCAATATCATCCTTGACTACATAGAAGGTTTGAAGCCAGTCTGGGATATCTGAGTCCCTGCTGCCAAAACAGAAACAAAAATTAAAAAAAAAAAAAAAACAAACCTGTTAGACTAGAGCAGCCTAGTGCATTTTGTGTGTAGTGTTTCTTGACTATGGCAAGAGATCATGTGTCCCAGGCATAGTTTTACAGGCCTTTATTCCCAGAACTCAGACAGAGGCAGGTTGAATTGGAAGCTAGCCTGGTCTACAGAGCATGCTCCAGTTACAGCCAGAGCTACACAGGGAAACCCTGTCTAGAAAAACAAAAAAGAGGACGTGTGAAATGACTGCCCTACACCATATAGGACCGTGTGAGAGCACACTGTGAGGTTCACATGAAGATGAGATCACTTAACTGCATTGCTAAGACCTAGTCCTATTATTAAGAAATGTGCGGCTGTAATTAACCCAGGGAGGAGGCAGATGAAGACAGAGACATGATAGCATGCTTTGGTAATTCATGGTAACAGATGACCTAGGAGAAAGGTCCCCCCCATTCCTAGGAGTGCCAGACTGCATGAGCACCATAGAGTGGAACTGAGAATGCAATGGGAGAAGCAGCTCAGGGCCAGCCTTCCAGGGAGTCCTGAAAGAGATTTGAGCATGTTTAGATGCTTAGAAGAAAGCAGGTACAGATGAGAGTCCCTTAAGACACCACTGGTCATACACATTCCGATAAGTTCTAAACTTGCAATAGAAAGATGGAAAATGACAGGGTTTGGGACGTGATTAGGCCTTAAGGGAAGAGCTCTAATGAACAGGACGTGGCTTTTCTAAAGGGAGTCTTCTGGGGTGTTTTTCCATTCTACTCAGTGAGGACAGCTGTTTTACATTTCAGTTGTGAACTCATCTTGATTTTTCCTGAGAAAATACAACACATGAGACTCCTGGGTGTTTTATATTTACTTCTTCTGCCATCCTAGCAGTAATAACACTTCAATGTTACTCTTTTTTTTTCTTTTATTGGATTTTTTTAAATTTACATTCAAATGTTATCCCTTCTGAAAACCCCCTATCCTATCTCCCCTTCCCCTTCCCTATAAGGGTGCTCCCCCTCCTACCTACCCGCTCCTGCCTTCCTGCCCTGGCATTCCCCTACACTGGGGCACTGAACCCCCACAGGACCAAGGGCCACTCCTCCCACTGATGTCCAACAAGGCTATCCTCTGCCACATATTTGGCCAGAGCCATGGATCCCTCCATGTGTATTCTTTGGTTGGTGGTCCAGTCCCTGGGAGCTCGAGGGGGTCTGGCCCATGCTCATGGATTGGCAGGATTAATACAGTAAAAATGGCCAGCTTACCGAAAGCAATCTAGAGATTCAATGCAATCTTCATCAAAATTCCAACTCAATTCTTCATAGAGATAGAAAGAGCAATTCTCAAATTTATTTGGAATAACAAAAAACCCAGGAGAGTGAAAACTATTCTCAACAATAAGAGAACTTCTAGGGGAATCACCATCCCTGACTTCAAGCTGCACTACAGAGCAATAGTGATAAAAACTGCATGGTATTGGTACAGAGACAGGCAGGAAGATCAATGGAATAGAATTGAAGACCCAGAAATGAACCCACACTCCTATGGTCACTTGATCTTTAACAAAGAAGCTAAAACCATCCAGCGGAAAGAAAACAGCATTTTCAACAAATGGTGCTGGTTCAACTGGAGGTCAGCAGGTAGAAGAATGCAAATTGATCCATTCTTATCTCCCTGTACAAAGCTCAAGTCCAAGTGGATCAAGGCCTTCCACATAAAACCAGATACACTGAATCTAATAGAAGAGAAAGTGGGGAAAAGCCTCGAACACATTGGCACAGGGGAAATTTTCCGGAATAGAACACCAATGGCTTATGCTCTAAGATCAACAATCAATAAATGGGACCTCATAAAATTGCAAAGTTTCTGTAAGGCAAAGGACACTGTCAATAGGACAAAATGGCAACCAACAGATTGGGAAAAGATCTTTACCAATCCTACATCTGACAGAGGGCTAATATCTAATATATACAAAGAACTCAAGAAGTTAGACTCCAGAGAACCAAATAACCCTATTAAAAATGGGGTACAGAGCTAAACAAGGAATTCTCAACTGAGGAATATTGAATGGCCAAGAAACACCTAAAGAAATGTTCAACATCCTTAGTCATCAGGGAAATGCAAATCAAAACGACCCTGAGATTTCATCTCACACCAGTCAAAATGGCTAAGTTCAAAAACTCAGTTAACAGCAGATGCTGACAAGGATGTGGAGAAAGAGGAACCCTACTCCATTGCTGGTGGGATTGCAAGCTGGTACAACCACTCTTAACGTTAATCTTAATGCTGTTTTCTGAGTGTGGGGGTTTCTAAGCCACCCACATGCTGTGATTCAAACTCCAAATCTGAATAAACTCAAGTCTGTAATTATAAATTTCTTGTGGGATTTTTTTTTTCCCAAGTGTGTTGGTTTGAGTGAGAATGGCTCCCATAGGTTCATATATTTGAGTGTTTGGTTCCCAGTTGGTAAAACTGTTGAGAGATTAGGAAGTATGACCTTGTCGGAGGTAATGTGTCACTGGGGGGGTGGGGTGGACACTGAGCTAGCTTTCTTTCTTTCTTTCTTTCTTTCTTTCTTTCTTTCTTTCTTTCTTTCTTTCT